TATTTGTTTTAATCGAAACAAGTTTATATTTGTCCACCTGTGGGGTTTTGGAGACGTCTGCATCACCATATGGGGCGTAAGAATAGGACGTGTGTTTGGATATAACTCAGTTTTCTGACCAAACTTTGTTAATATTGTTCATTTATTAGGTTACAACTGAATTTAGATATAGTTTAGATCAAATCTTTGTGCTTAACAAACTAAATTAAAAATGTCTGCTAATGGATGTCTTTAGTGGAGAGAGTTTCCACCGTTTCCTTACTCCACCAAAGTAAAGGAGTAAAGTAAAGAGAATGTAAAGAGGCTGAATGGAGGAGGCTCATTCTTTATCCTCATGCTGCAGATGCTCTGTTTACCCGTTTTCTCGCTAGTGAAGTGTTTAGTTTTTACACTTATAAAGTCTGCCATGTAAATTGCAAATGCGCCATAGCATTATGCAGCTGACTCTTACAGGGAATGGGAGATGCGACTCTGATTGGTTTAATGCATATTATGCTCAAAACGGACCCCTAACTCAATAAGAGAATTATGTCAACCCTGTTAGACCATGCACCAGGGCGCAGAGCGTATTTTTCCCTCTGTAAAATAGCAAAAGTGGATTTGGACTCGCCCTTAATGCTTTTGCGCCATGTGATTTAGACTTTGCGCCTAGATCGGTAAAATAGAGCCACTGGGGTCTAAGGGGGTTTTGGGGGACTAGAGAAGTTCTGATGTGCCCTGACATTTGTTTTGTTTTTCCAGATGCTTATAAAGATATAAGTGGCTAAAGTCTAACACCACTGTAAACAGATTCAGAGATTGAGCTGTTTTTTTTTTTCTGACGTCTTTCCCAGACAAAAAGAAAGCACTCCTTTTCTGTTTTCAATTTTTACAAAAACATTGTTTTGCTGTAAACATAAATATATACAAATAATGATAAACTCGGTACGGTTTTTAAATCTGTGTTTGTCTCGTCAATATGATCAAAAATAATATTTTATGGATTAATGAAATGTGTATTCACGTCTGTCGACCCCAGGGGGTTAATGTGAAATAATGCAACATGCTTAAATGTGATGGTGAACATTTGATTCTGCTACTAGTTATTTAAACTATTGTTAGGCTTTTTAAACTACTAAAGTTGGCAATAACAGAGTGGGCAATAACAATTTGGCAATAAATGAGTTGGCAGCAATGAAGTTGATCATAATAGAGTTGACAGTATCAGAGCTGGCAGTAATGGAGTAACTTTGTTGGCAGTAACAGAGTTGGTAGTAACGGAGTTGGCAATAATGTAGATGGCAGTTACTTAGTTGGCAGTAACAGACTTGACAGTGACAGATTGGGCAATAACAGAGTTGACAGTGACAGACTTGGCAATAATAGAGTTGGCAGTAACACAGTTAGCAGTGACGCAGTTGGCAATAATGTAGTTGGCAATAATGTAGATGGCAGTAACTGAGTTGGCAGTAATAGAGTTGACAGTGACAGATATGGCAATAACAGAGTTGGCAGTAACATAGTTGGCAGTAACGCAGTTGGCAATAACCTTAAACCTGATACCCCATGGCATGCCTAAAACACAATTTATTTTTTTAATAATTATATAATTATTCCACTATAGGCAGTGGCGCAGTAGGTAGGAAGTGCTGTCGCCTCACATCAAGAAGGTTGCTAGTTCTAACCTCGACTGGGTCAGTTGGCATTTCTGTGTGGAGTTTGCATGTTCTCCCTGCGTTCGCGTCTGTTTCCTCCGGGTGCTCCGGTTTCCCTCACAGTCCAATGACATGCGGTACAAGTGAATTGGGTTGGCTAAAATTATCTGTAGTGTATGAGTGTAAATGAGTGTGTAAGTATGTTTCCCAGAGATGGGTTGCGGCTGGAAGGGCATCCGCTGTGTAAAACATGTGCTGGATAAGTTCATTCCGCCATGGCGACCCCAGATTAATAAAGGGACTAGGCCGAAAAGAGAATGAATGAATGAATATTCCACTATTGGTGTATCCTAAACATTTTGTATTTTAACTTTTTTTATAATCGATATAAAAGAGTTGACCAGAACATAGGGACAGATTCAAATTATATTATTTTTAATGAATATTTAAAAATAATATATATATATATATATATATATATATTTTTTTTTTTTTTTTTTTTTCATGCAAATGATTATTTAAATTAGTAAACACACAAAAGCTGACAATTTCACTTCATTTCATCTAATGATAATTAAAGCTGAATGTATGATTCAGGAGGTGGAGACCGTCAAAAATAAGTATAATGAGACTATTTATTTTTATAATTTCATAATACCCCACATATTTTGCATGTGCATTGATATAAATAAACATAGCCTTGGCTTTCCTAACACTAAAATTTATATTTGTAGATGTCAAACAGAACAGTATAGATTGTTTATGACATGAATACTTTAAATATAATTGTCTTTTATTTACGCTGTGCATGAATGTTCAGTCGGCTGATCTTCAAGACTCTGCAGTTGACTGTAATGTGATTTTGAGGCTCGGTGTGTTTTGAATACTGATGCGTCTCTATAATCACATTGACCAGAAGCACAAACACAAACTTCCTGGAATGTAATTATAGTGAACAAAAACCCTGACACTCAGAGATTATCAGACACATTGAGCTCAGCTTCTTCTCTGTCAGTCCATTAGCTACCAGATTTTAACTCCGTCAATCTTATCAGCATTTAATTGAAAAAAGACAATGGTTCTATTCTATTTTAGAATTACAAATAGGGATGTCATTTGTTTATTATTCCTCTAAATGAATAATCAACTAATTAATTACATGTTTATATTAATTAATTCAATAATTTAATACAAATGAATCGCTTCAAAACATAGGGAAATATCTTAAAAAATTACAAAATAAATTGTTAAAACCTAAATAAATGTTGATGCAATGGGATATTAAAGGTTAATTTAATTTAATGTGAACTTTTCATCATAAAAATCCTGTAAGTTAATAATCAACTAACTGATTAAATGTTTGTAATAGTTAAATTATTTGATACAAATGTATTAATTCAAAAGCTTAACTTTAAAACAAATAAATGTTGATGCAATGAATAAATGTTGATAAAAAGCGCAGTAATTTATTTTTTATATTATTTTACTTTTACTTTTTTATAGTTAAAAAGTAAAAATTCCTGTATATTGACAATCAACTAATTGATTAAATGGTCATATTAATTAATTAGACTATTGAATAAACAGTAATTAATTAAAATATATAGAGGACATGCTTTAAAATTTATTTAAACATAAATAGATGTTGAAACAAAGGCATAGTAATTTGTTTAATGTATACTTTTTTAAACTTATTATAGTAAAAATTCATGTGAATTAATAATCAAGTAATTAATTAAATGTTTATAATAAAAAGGCTATACTTACAGGGGATATGCCTTAAAACTGTTTTAAAAGTCTAAAACAAAGGCATAATGATAATTTATTTTTAATATGAACTCTAAAATAAATACAATATAATTTTTTTGCTAATTGCAGAGTTTTTTTTTTTTTTTACTTTCAGGTTCAATGTCAGCTTAAATGTAAAATTGATTAACAGTTGACTTAATGTGTTTCAAATTATATATATATATATATATATATATATATATATATATATATATATATATATATATATATATATATATATATATAACAAAAGACTATTCCTTTGTAAATAAGTAGGTAAGTAAATAAGTAATGTTCTACGTAAATAAATAATTGAGTAAATATAAAAGCAAGTAAATATGTAAGTATATAAGCAAAATATAAGTGTATGAGTAAATAAGTAATTGAGTAAGTATATAAGCAAGTACATAAGTAAACAAAAATTTAATTATATAAGCAAGTAATTAAGTATATAAGCAAGTAAATAAGTTAACAAGAAAATTTGTAATTTTATAAGCAAGAAAAAAAAGTAAACAACTAAATATGTAAGCAAGTAAATAAATAAATATATAAGCAAATACATAAGTAAATGAGTAAGTAAAAGTAAATAAGTGTAAAATAAATAATTAAGTATATAAGCAAGTAAATGACTAAGTTTTAGTAAATAAGAGTAAAATAAGTAAGTAATTAGGTATGTAAGCAAGTAAATAAGTAAACAAGTAAATATGCATATAAGCAAGTAAAAATGAGTAAGTATAAAAGCAAATAAATAAGTAAATAAGTATAAGTAAATAAGAGTAAAATAAATAAGTTTTTAGGTATATAAGCAAGTAAATAAGTAAACAAGTAAATGTGTATATAAGCAAGTAAAAATGAGTAAGTATAAAAGCAAATAAATAAGTAAATAAGTAAGCAAGTAAATAGTAACAAGTGAATGAGTACATATATAAGCAAGTAAATAAGTTATTGAGTAACTGTATAATAAGGAAAATGAGTATGTATATAAGCAAGTAAATTAGTTATTGAGTAAATATATAAGCAAGTAAATAAGTATATAAGTATATAAGCAAGCAAATAAGTAAACAAGTAAATAAGTTATTGAGTAAGTTTATAAGCAAGTAAATGAATAAGTATAAGTAAATCAGTGGATAAGTAAACAGGTAAAAGAGTAAGTATATTAGCAATTAAATAGCTAATTGAGTAAGTATGGAAGCAAATAAATAAGTAAATTTAGGTATATAAGCAAGTAAATAAAAAACATTAAAAATAAGTAAACAAGTAAGTATACAAGTTAATACATAAATAAATATGTAAGTAGATATAGAAGTAAATAGGTAGATATATAAGTAAATATATACATAGATAAAGTAACAAGAAACACACTATAAATGTAAAATTAGAGATGCATTCATGCAATCTTTTCTAGTGGTAGCACCGTGTTATCAGATGTTGAATATTTTCTTCAGAGCCTGGATTATTAACCTGGTCCAGTGTTTTTAGAAGCCTGATTAAATATGAATGTGGAGTGTGTTGTTTTACAGTGTTTACAGCAAACACAATGAACTGTGTGTAAATATTTCCCTTCTGTTGTGTTTGCAGTCCAAGAGCTACATGTGCAGCAGTCAAGGGAAGATCCTGTGCTTCACCATAGACTTTGAGTCCGGTTTCTCCTGCTCCGACACACTTTCAAAGGTAACAAATAAAAACTTTAAGTATACTGGATGTATTCTGCGTGCAGTGTTTCAGCTGATTCATCATCTGCTCTTCAGCTTTACTCTTACCATAGCAAAATACTTCTGCTGTGCTGGAGTATCAGTTTAACAGTAAATTTAATAATCAGCTGACTTAATGCATTTCAAATTATAAATAAAAAACAAAGGACTATGCCTGTGTAAATAAATAAATAAGCAGGTAAGTAAATAAATAATTGAGTAAATATATAAGCAAGTAAATGTCTAAGTATATAAGCAAGAATATAAGTGTATGAGTAAATAGGTAATTGAGTAAGTATATAAGTAAATAAGTAAACAAAAATGTAATTATAGTAGCAAGTAAATAAGTAATTAAGTATATAAGCAAGTAAATAAGTAAACAACTAAATAAGCATGTAAGCTAGTAAATAAAAGAGAATGTATATAAGCAAGTAAATAAATGAGTAAGTATACAAGCAAGTATATAAGCAAGCAAATAACAAGTAAATATGTATATAAGCAAGTAAAAATGTGTAAGTATATAAGCAAATAAATAAGTAAATGAGTAAGTATAAGTAAATAAGTGTAAAACAAATAAGTAAATGAGTATGTAAGCAAATAATTAGTAATAGGTAGGCCCACACGGAATCTGTGCGCGCAGAATTCCGCAGATTTTCCACAGATTTTCCGCAGAATTCTGCAGATTTTTAGCTCATTATTGATTCTGTTTATTTACTTGAGTAAATATGTAAATCTGAATTTATTCAGTTTTTATTCAGTAATTTATTACTTTTTATTTAATATATTAAGGTTTTAGTTATGATACTCCACTGGATACTCTCAAAATAATTACGCAGAAATCCGCAGATTTTTACCAAAATTCTCTGCAGAAATAGCCAAAAACGTCCGCAGATTCCGCCTGGCCCTGGTAATAGGAAAATGATTAAGTATATAAGCAAGTAAATAAGTTATTGAGTTAGTATATAAGCAAGTAAATATGTGAACAAGTTAATGATTAGGTATATAAGCAAGTAAATAAGTTATTGAGTAAGTATATAAGCAAGTAAATAAGTGAACAAGTTAATGATTAGGTATATAAGCAAGTAAAAAAGTTATTGAGTATATAAGCAAGTAAATAAGTAAACAAAAATGTAATTATATGAGCAAGTAAGTAAGTAATTAAGTATATAAGCAAGTAAATAAGTAAACAAGAAAATTAGTAATTTTATCAGCAAGTAAATAAGTAAACAACTAAATAAGCATGTAAGCTAGTAAGTAAAAGAGTATTTATATAAGCAAGTAAATAAATGAGTAAGTATATAAGCAAGCAAATAACAAGTAAATATGTATATAAGCAGGGGCGGACTGGCCATCTGGCAGACCGGGCATTTTCCGGCTAGGCCGACGTACTTTTTGGGCCGGGCTGATTATCGTCTTATGATCTGATCGGCCCATAAAACACTTAAAACACTTTTCTGCTTTATTAATTGACGCTGCTGTGATCTGTGACTCTCTGAAAGTAAGATGCTTTTTTTCCCGGACAGACAGACCGGCCCGGCCCATGTGACACTCTGCAGCCCATTGGCTCTTTTCTGTATTGACATTGGGCTGGCCCAATCACAAACTCCTATTTTGGACTCCATGTGAGCGTGCGTCGTCTGTGTGTATTTGTCAAAATAGTCGAGAGTCAGAGAGAAGAAAGGCAAGGGAGGAGCAGAGAAATCGCGGGAAATACACCGGCGTTTCATTTAGCGGTTCTGAAAAGTTCTCTGTTCATTCTAGTACACGGCTAAAAACGCAAATCACGTGACCAAACACTCTCTGCCAAGAGCTGCAGCTAGTAGTTCAGCGGGTGAGCATAAACCCCAGGTGAGAGTATAGTGCATGTCAGACAGTTCATCTGCTGGATCTGATCTCACTATAGTTATTAAACGTGATATTCATCTTGTTGTCTCTATCTAACAACTCTTATGTCTTTTGAATCACTTGTTCTCAGGTAACTCTGTTTTGGCCGAGTGCAAAGATAAGCTAATATATTAATTTTTGTAACATACACTGATTCTGCACATTGACTGATTGCTTACCTTTATCGTTTAAATTTAGTGAAGTTTATTCATAAACTAATTTCGAGAGGAGCACGTGATTATGATTGAACACGGCTGGTTCTGCATTAGCATGCATGATGACCAGGCCATTCCTAACCCACTATAAAGAGCCAGGGTTTTTTCACTACAGTCATCTTCGATTTGAAGAATCCCCCCTTCCACCCCTACCTTTTCACGTTTCCCTCCATAGGGCAGCACGGTGGCCCAGTGACTAGCACTGTCGCCTCACAGCAAGAACGTCACCGGTTCTAGTTCTTCAACAGGCCGGTGGTCGTTTCTGTGTGTAGTTTGCATGTTCTACCCGTGCTTGCGTGGGTTTTCCCCGGGTCCTCCGGTTTCCTCCCACATTCCAAAAACATGTACAACAAGTTAATCGTTAAATCTAAATTTGCAATTCAGGTAATTTTATAACGCAGCATATCTTGTAATAGCATTCAATTTTTAGTCATCAGCTCTTATCAAGGGGGAGTTGTCGAGATCTACCTGAGCTCAAGGCTCCCCTCTCTTCCTCCAAACGGGAGATAGCCCAGGGCTCAAGAACCTTCGAGCTCAGGGCTCTCTCCCGGGACAGTATGCCAAACTTGCTTAAAATCAATCATCACCCTGCTGAAAAATCTAGCTTAAACCAGCCTAGGCTGGTTAGCTGGTTTTAGCTGGTCAATCAGGCTGGTTTTAGAGGGGTTTTGACCACTTCCAGGCTGGTTTCCAGCCATTTCCAGCCTGGTCTTAGCTGGTTAGGCTGGAAGATGACCAGCTAAAACCAGCTTGACCACCCTTACCAGGCTGGGAGCCCAGCCAAAACCAGCTATGTCCAGCTTAAACCAGGCTGGTCAAGCTGGTTTTAGTTGGATTTAGCTGGTCATTTTCCAGCCTGACCAGCTAGGACCAGGCTGGAAATGGCTGGAAACCAGCCTGGAAATGGCCAAACCCCCTCTAAAACCAGCCTGGTCGACCAGCTAAAACCAGCCAACCAGCCTAGGCTGGTTTAAGCTGGATTTTTTAGCAGGGCAGCTAAGTGTGAACTCTTGAAATGTACGTTATACTGTTATAATGGCCATAATTGATTATAAAAACTGATATTTTGCAAAACAGACGTGGTAAAGTTTGTTCTTTTCAATGGAAATGAAAGGAGGCAGTTATATTTAAGCCCTGTTTTGTTATAAATATGCAGAGGGAAGATGACGCTCATATTAATATAGAGCTACACGAGGCTGTTTGGTGTCTGTTAATCATAATATCAAAATGAAACAAATTTCCTTATATTATGTTTTCATTGTTTCGATAGTGAAACAGCAAGCAGGAGGAGGTGAATAAGGTTATAAAGTACACTGTTCCCTTTGAAGATTTAGCCATGCATTAGCAGGCCGTTTTTGTTATGTTTATTATTGAATAAGCTAAATTGGCTGTAGCGTATGAGTGTGTGTGAATGAGTGTGTATGGGTGATTTCCAATGTTGGGTTGTGGCTGGAAAGGCATCTGCTGCATAAAACATGCTGGAATAGTTGGCAGTTCATTCCACTGCGTCAACCCCTGATAAATAAGGGACTTATGCGAAGAAAAATAAATGAATGGTGTATTTTTTAGAACTCAACAAATATCTTTATGGATGGTATACAGAAATTAAATTGATATTAAAGTTTGTATTTATTTGTTTATTTCATATATATGGCTTTTGTTTTATAAAATATGAGTTGATAAAAATATTGGACGTGCATAGATAGATTGCATTTTGATTGAATGTAGTGGGCCGCTCTGTCCCAAAATGCCAGGACCGATTTTTCGCCATAGTCCAGCCCTGGGGCGGAGCTATCGGGCGCACGTGTTGGATAACTTTATTTATTTTGGATGGAAAAAGCAAAATTCTCCTAAGAGAAGGTATTATTTGACAGTTTGGTCATTTATTTCACTGATTAGGCAACCGTCAAACGTCATCGGGGAAACGGTTTGAATTTTCGCTTGGTAAAAAACATTAGTGCTCCATTTGGGATGACACTACATACATGTACTATCCTGTTGAGTGTGTAAGTGTATAAGTACATAGTGCATGAGTGCATAGTGTGTCCCATTTGAGACGCAGCTGTTGTTTAGCAAGATGCTAATATTTAGCTTAAAGAGCCATTTAAAGGCTTTGCAGTGGGCACCTTGATGTCAAAATTAAGTTAAAATCACATCGAAAAAACATGTTGAAAAATACAAAAGTTTTGATTTTAATTGACTACCCTGATGTCAAAACAACATCAAATTGACAACTAAATAAGGCATCAACAAACATGACTTTTGACGCCAAAGTTAGATGTGCATTTGTGGTTTTTCAAGTATTTAATAGGGGTGTAACGATACACTCAGCTCACGATACGATGTGTATCACGATATAATGTTCACGATTCGATATGTATCACGATATTTGGAATAAAAATTGAAAATTAAACTGAAATGCAAATTTTACCAAGTAAACTATTTTTTTATTTATTTCTTTTGTTTCAACTTGAACCTTCTTTAAGAAAATAAATTAAACAGGCCTGTCTCTGGAAAATAAAACAATTTAAAAACTTCTTTAAAATATTATTGAAATGACAGAGACAAAATTAAGGAACAATTTAAGTAAAGGTGCAAAAAAAACAAGCTTTCTATTCAATTGAATTTAACAGTAAGAGCTTAAGGCTTTGCTCTGTCACTTGCGTTTTTTGTGTGTGCGAAAAAAATCCACAATTCCAGGTATTTAATTCATATTTAATTAAATTCATTTAGAGATATCTCTAATTACAATCGTGACTAGTCAAAACTCATTTAGAGATATCTGCAAATATTTTTCAATGGAAGTCAATGGAGGAATATGACTAGTCATAATATATTTGCAGATATCTCCAATCTGATTTCGTACTAGTACAATTGTAAT